CACACACACACACACACAGAGAGAGAAAATGAATCCATCGTCTTTCCCTAATTCCCTCATCTTTGTAAAGCCACGTTCAAATTGATTTAGTTCTCTGGGGGAGGTGTTAATATTACCTGGCCTGGTTTAGTGACTTTAATCCAGTTCAGATAATGAATGTGTCTTTTTAAAAATGTTTTTGATCCCATCACCAGGAAGATTCAACACTACAATCAACTCCTAAATAAATCAGTACTGAGTAATGTGTGATCTTTTAAGCAAGAAGTCACTTCCATTTTTCAAACTAGTGCCTTTAAAAGGTTGTACTGAACTACTACAGCCTTACTGTGATCCGAGCCAATGATTTTAACATAAACATGTTCATCTGACCTGCACAGCAGACGCCAACATTTTTTGAAAGTATAAATATCATTTGGACGACTGCAGATTCAAACAACTGAACGGCATCAATCGTGTGTGAGCTCACCAGCAGTGTGCGATGTGTCAGTGACCACAGAGAAAATGTGCTGCAGGATATCGCAGAAATACGTCTGGTAGAAACTTTGAGCGGCTGCCTCCTCCTGGGCCACATTCTGCAGCAAGGTGTACAGAATCTGCAGACCTGAGCAGCGACAAGACACAAAACAACACAAAATTATAGTTGCACATCCTTCAAAGACCGCAGCAGCTTATTGTTAACAGCCGGGTTGCACAGTGATGTCGCTGTTCTGATGCACGTCTGTTTCAGTGTGAAAAGGATCACAGTGCACCTTCATGTCACGTGGATCCCACAGTGGATCCCACAGTGGATCCCACAGTGGATCCCACAGTGGGTTTTCCCATTATCAGTATTTAAGATGTTGTTGGTCAATAAGAGCATAAACACCTTAGTGTACTCATCTCTGTGCCCTTACCAGTGTCAGCCACGTTCCTCATGGTGTGCTTAAAGGCCCAGATGATGGAGTCCAGCACTAGTTTGAACTGGGCTGGAGGGATGGCAAGGAATGCGGGGAAGCAGTGCGAGTTTACAGCTTGGAGCAGGTAGAAGAAGTGGGTCCTGTGCTCTGGATACTCCTCAAAGTTCTGGTACAAACATACAAACAGATGATGAAAAATTTTAATCTACAAACCAAGTTATATCATAATGCTACACATGAAATAACGTATCAGCAGTCTAACTTAAATCTGGCCTCACACTGCTGCAGGTTTTTAGTTTTTGAGAGGCACCTGATGGGTCCCAGTTGTATTTTGGAGTGGAAACAGAGGCTCAGGTCAGAGTAAACAACAGCTGAAGCCGACTGAATTTAAGATTTTCATTTTTTTTCCTGCAGAACACAAGCACTTAACTGATAGTGACTAAAACCAATGCAGTGCTGCAGTTAAATAGATTTTTTGTTTTCTATCAACAATGATGACGTGCATGAATGTAATTATCCGTCCAGTGATTTACACACTGCAGTGAAGGCCGCATGGTAGATTGCTTATCCCACTGCAAATGAAAGCTGCTGATTTGATGACTGAGGTGTTTACTCACTACTCTCAGTAATAAAAGAGCTGCTGATAACTACGAACAGTTGAACAGACGGCCGGCCACTTGATAAACAGAAAGACAAAGACTGCTGTCTCGGTCACGTGTGCAGGAAAGATTTAAAAACAAATATCCACATATGATGCGTCAGCGGCTCACTGGGTCGTACCTTGTTGATCATGTTTAGAGTGCACTCAAAGACGGCATCAAAGATCTGGGGTATCTCGCTGGTGATGTGCCCCCCCAGCTTGTTGACAATAGTTGCCATGGTGCTGAGGACTTCAGGCTCACGGGCGGCAGGGACATTGCGTTGGTAGTCAATGAGGACGGCATCCAGCAGGGGGGGAACAAAGTTCTCACCAACCTGAAACAACAACAACAACAACAAGAGCCGTCAGCAAAGAAAGCTTTGAGTGACGCACAAAAACCTGAGCAGACATGCTTTAAATAAAACCATGAAAGGTGACCAACCCCTCAGTACAGTGACAAACTGTGAATATTAAAGGGTTGTGCAGATGCAAACACAGGGGGGGGCAGAAAAGTCTGCCGCAGGGGAACACAATCTTTGTGTCTGATCTAAAAATACCGATTGGATTGTTCGAAAGCTGTTCCACAGTCAGCTGTTCCACTGGCTGCTACAGTAGGAGTAACTCAGGAGGACACAAGAGTGTAAATATATCACTTCTGATATCATCAGCATTTTTAGTACAGCAGCTTTCTTCCTTCATTCTTTGTCAACATAAAGCCCCAACTGGGTTTGTCTCCTTCAGCAGTGACATATGTGAGCGCCTTTCTCACCATCTGTGGGTCGTTTGATCGGCTGACCCAGCCTGAGATCAGCTTCAGAGTCTCCCGTTTCACTGTTCTCATACTCCGGATCAGTGGCTGCTTTGTCACCATCTCACCTGCAACACAGACATTAGCAGAACATGCGACTTCTGAATGAGGATGGGAAAAAAACAAACAAAAAAAGTCTCACACATAGCAGCTGGGTCTAAATGTGTAGCTCTCGCTAAACTTAATGTGCACTGCACACCTCTCAAATCTCAGCTTTTTGTGCCAATGAAACCCATCCCATGTTACATAACACATATCTCACACGTGGAATTACCTTAATTACTGTAATGCAAAAAAAAAAAAAACGAGAGAAAAGACTTTGTAGCTGACTAAGAGCCCACTTGGAACAGAAGTCTGATAGAAAAATGGCTGGAATGAAGAAGTATGATATAATTACAGATCATTAAATATTATACTAGCGCTGCACCCATTTATCAGCTAAACACTGGCCCCTATTCTTCTCGATGACTGGTATCAGCAAATAAGATGTCAATTATCTGAAACAGTGGCTGATATTCATCTCATCTACCACACTGACTTAACCCTGATTGGAGTGTGATGAACACTATAAAAGTAAAACAAACAGTATAAACCTCTGAAAATCAACTCAGTTTGTGTGCTGCTTACAGAACAGCTATAACCTCACTGCTCTGACAGCAGCATGACAGTAAGCATGTTTACAACCATCTGTCTGCAGTGACCACCATGCAACTGTGACAGTCTGCTGCACGATGAAAACAAATGTGCCGGTCTTACCGTTTGTCTGAATGGCAGCAGAGATGTTCTCGCTGAGGCACTTGTACACGTTGAGCATGTCAAGGTAAATCCGTCCCAGCTGGATAACAAAGGGGTGTCCCACTGCCTTGCAGGCCCTGACATTGGTCTTAAGAATGCTGCCCAGCTGTTTGACGGTTTCTGGGTCCTTCAAGATGTCCACGTTCTCATGGACGGAAGAGGAGCAGAAGAGCCATTAACAAACAGCTTGTGTGTCTCTGAAATGTGAATAAACGGTGATACACCATCTTACCTTGGTGGCCTGCTGGATGATACTGTCCCACACTTGATTGGGCAGCAGCATATATTTCTCTATCAGGTGCTCCTGAACAGCCTGGTCGGTCTGTGCCCCGATCATGTACCCTACTGCCTCATAAAACGTGTGCACCTGTACGTACACACAAACAAACAAAACAGTCAGCACAGACACTCAACTGGGCAAATAAGAGACAGCTGTGCCTCTCTCTGATGGATTTCTGTGGGTAAGAACACTTAATGACCTGCTGAGGCTGAAGGTCACAGATGATCGTGTTAATGTTGTTGAGGATCTCATCGATGAAGGGCATCACCTCTCCCACCTGCACCTGGATAAAGTGGCGCCGACACTTCTGGGCAATCTTAATGAAGGTGTCGCACGCCATGTCCTGAACTCCATCATGGGTCTCTGTGAGGGCAGGACAGAAAAATAAAAATGCATTAGAGCTGTATCCATCTATTCATCCATCTGCCTGAAATAGATGCAAAGAGGGAGATCAACAAATAAAAATACTCCAGCTCACCATGCATGAACTCAAAGAGCTTGTTCACAACAGTTTTGAGGAACTTCCAGTGGGCTCTAAGAAAACGAGGGTACTGGCCAACAATGTACATGATGTTAGAGGCGATGATGGCCTTGTTGTCTTTTCCTCGCTTCTGCTCACAGAGACCCAGCAGATCCTGAAGCAAACACCAAAGGATTCACTTAGGCTTAATGTTAAACCTTATGGGTGAGACAATAATTAATATGAGGCATAAGCATGAGTGAGGGACTGCTGTCACCTAAACCTAAATACACAGACACATCAATACCTTAATGACAGTAACAAGGAACCTCTTCTCATCCTCCTCGTGCATAGCCCCACTGATGGATCCAATGGCCCAGCACAGTGTGTTGAGGTTCTTCCAGGACCATTCAGTACCATTTACCTGGTTGTGAAGCTTCTCTGTCATTATGCGTTCTGTGTCCGCATAATCCAAGTGAGTCAGGTACACTGCAGGACAGTAGAGGAAATGTGTATCAGAGTACAGTACAGTTTCTGCTGAATTAAGAGTTAAAACTAGAGACACAGTTCAGAACCAAGACAGAGAGAGAGAGATAAAAACAACAAAAAAAGAAAGAAACATATATGAGAAGAAATGGCGGAATGAATTTTCCCTAAAAACACTGACGCCTGTGTGATGAGTGACACTGATCAAGCCAATTTAGTCAAATGTAAATTTATAGTCAGTCAGTTCTACAGTCAAAGCTAAAGCTTTCCCTACATCCATCCATTATTTAAACAGCTTATCCTTCTGCCAGTCTACGAGTTTCCAATCGATCTAACCTGCATTTCTTTGGATCTGTGGGGGAAAACCAGAGCACCCGGAGGAAATCCACGCAGACGCACAGAAAGGCCCCAGCCAGCCGGCAGTGCTAACCACTGAGCCATGGTGCCGCCCGATTCTCCTACAATATTTAAATATTACAGTGGTGCTGAGAACAACTCGCCTAACCTGTTGGAGGATGTGTCTGATCAGTAAATACAAATCCAGCTGCTGAAGCCACTGGATGGATGCATTAATTAAGATCTATTCAAAAATGTGACTTCTTGTGGTTATGATCAGTTAAACACTGCTTCTTAAGACAAGTGGCCTAGAAAAAAAAACAGAGTTTAAAGCTTGATTTACAGTCCTGTGTTGAATCCCTGCAGAGCCTACGCCGCAGTAGCGTCGTCATCATTTGCATTTGTACTTGAGCGCTGCTGAGTTGCACTGGTCTGCTATCACCAGTGTAAACTGAGACAATCACATTCACTTCAAGCTAATAGTATCATACCACTGCTACATCGAAATGCAAGAAAAAGACCCCCCCCCCCCAAAAAGAATTCAGAAGCGATCGAGCCTTTACACAGATTATTCGAGCTTTAAAACAAGAAACCAGCATGTACCTGCATTAGCAAAATCTTATTTTGCTAATCATTATACCGCGTTTACACAGGATTTTACTAGCAAGTGGAGACACAACTGCTGCAGCGTAGATTATGCTGCAGATTTAACACAGTACTATAAATCAAGCTTAAGGATATAAAATATTAGAAGCTATCATTAAGTCATACCAAGGGTCTCCCTCATATTCTTGTAGAGATTGATGGAATCTGTGTCCTTCATGAACTCCCTGACCACCTCCCCCTGATCATTCTCCACCACCAGGACCTCCTCTGGCTTGGCCATCCGACTTACCATCAGCAGACGCACCTGTTACTCCAGATAAAAAAAACCTGTCAGCAAGTACACAAATCAAAACACCTGCCTTTCACACACACAGGAAAATATAGCTTAGCTTGTGTTCTCATAAATGTAAAAGGACGATACAAGTGGTTTGTCTCCTGGTTATAGTCACATTTCACACATATGGAATGTAAAATATCATTAAGTAGAAAAAAAATGTTTGTATTACTTTAGTAGCTGCTGATTTTTAGTAACACTGTAACCAGCATCTCTTTTGGCAGCTCTGAAGCAGCCACCTGTCGCTGGCCTGAGCCAAGTCTTTCTAGTATGACTGCGAGCTGAGACGCTTCAGGTTCCACAAACTGGAAACACTTCAGCAACCTCTGTGTCATCTTCACTATAAACGTAAGACATGCTTCTTAAAGAAGAGTCTGCATTTATAAACTCAACTTCAATCATGGGGCTCTGCGATCATGTATGTGGTATGAATAAATACCATCTTGTTCTAAGAGGTACCTTGGAGAGAACGGGTAGATAGAGCTGTCTGCGTGGAGGCACATCAAAGTGCTGGTTGCCAGACAGCAGAGGGGACGTGGATGTGGAAAAGGGACTCTCTCTGTAGAGCTCAGCGGCCAAGTGATTCCAATACTCCAGGCAGATTTTGAAGATCTCAGTCTCTTCCACCTCTGACACCAGCAGCATGTAGTGGAGGGCCTGAAGGAGAACCAGGGGAGTTGCAATGTAACGTGAACATGTTAGCTAATTACCATAATCTTCTCCTGTGCAGCCTATGTAGAGCAACAACAAAATACAGAATGCCGTGCTTCCCTTACCTCCATTAATGTCTCTCTGAGGTTGAGCCTCTTCTCAATGAGTTGCCCGTGCTCTTTAAGGAAAGTACACAGGAACAGACTGAGGTTCTGGATGAAGTTTTGCTCGTCATCTTTCCCGTTGGCGTAGGCCAGCCGAATGTTGGTGTTCAGAGGCAGCATCTGAACAGATTAGAGTTAAAATTCATCTTAGAGTCTCAAACCGAGCAACGTGTCAGTGTGGCTTTGTCAGATGTCACCGGGTAACCCACCTGTTTGAGCTGACACATGGTCAGCGTGAAGAGGGTAACAAACTGCTCCTCGTACTGGCTGACACTCACGCCCGCAATCTCTGTCAGGCACTTCAACGTCACGTTGCGAAACATCGGCACGTTCAAGAACTGTTTAAAATAAAAAAATATATATGTTAAATATCCATTATAAATCGATTTTATGCACATCATCGAATATTTTAAATAATCACACAAATCTGCATCTTTGTGTGTTGTGTGCGCCTTTGCGGCCGCACCTTATACACCAATGTGCTGATCAGTTTGGTTTCAAAGATGTATCCCAGAGGAATCCAGTTGAGAAAACGCAGAAGTGTCTCCAGGGTGGCATGGACCAGGGGGGCATTCTGGGAATTCTCCTGAGGTGCACACAGCAACACAAAAATCAGCTGAAGAACAAACACTGGTGTGTAACCGATGATAAAAAGAATGTACGATACAAGGAAAAAGATGAATGCATACCATAACAAACTGACACAGCTGGAATATCTGGGAGAATTCATTGCACATGCTGAAAGAAAACAAACAACATGTTAAACAGCATCTGACACTGATAATGAAAGACAAATCTGAAAGTTTCATGTACAACCTGTGCCCTGAAACAATGTAAATAACCGTGGTTCGTTTCTTTTGATCACTTTATGTCTGTTCATGTTTGGTTTCAAACCAACACTGTTTAAAAGGTTTTGCTGCACTGACAGCAGCTAACAAGTTGCCACCTACTCAAGTAACACCGCCCTCTCTTATCCCCCCTCTCCAGTGTTACACTCCACCCATCTCATGCAGCAGTTTTCACACATGAACTTTGGGCCAGTTCAGGAGAGTCTAGTTAATATTTCTCACATTTGTCCTTCCTCACATGTAGCACACAATGGGACATGGTCTGCTTCAGACACAGTTGCACCGCTGGAAAAACACTGTAGTTTAGTGGAGGGTGCTGCCTAGACAGACTGCGTAGGAGGTACCACACACGATGCCCAACTGGCCAATAGTAAATGCACTGGGTGATGTTGGGTGACTTCCAGAAAAACTCAGCCATGTAAGAAAATGGCTACACTCTGACGTCTGGTGACAGCAGAACAGGGACGTTTTGAGAAAATACATTAAAGGCTTTAAGATGGCATTAAAATAAAGTGAGAGCATATAAAAGGAAGGAAATAAAAGATGGTTTTAATATTCTATCAATGTCTTTTCCTTTGGCGTTTGTGTGTATCATGTGACACGGTATTCCTGGGTAGCAGTGTATTAAATGTTTAGTCAGATTTAGTAGTTTACAGCTTGTTTAGTTATACTAGACTTGGTAAATTCAACTGCACCGAGTCTAAACATAATAAGCCTCATTTGTCATTGAATGTAGTTCCAAACAGTCAATCGGGATGACCTTCTTTAGTCATCTGAAGAGAAAAAAAACCCCCAAAACATCTAAAATCTAAAATGACTTCAGCCCCAGTGGACATATTTCGGATTCTTTGGATGAGGAAACAATAAAACATGAAGCTCCCAATCACGCGAGCTTCATGTTTCAGGAACGGCCTCCCTGATCTGAACCCGAGTGGTGTTTTGTTATTGGACTTCTGTGCAAATCACAGTTTGCCCATAACAAACACCTTGTTCGAACATAAGAGTGTCCATAAGTGCATGTGGCACATGAGGTCACTGAGGCAGTTAAACAACTCCTTGGTGGCAGAGCCCCTGGTGTGGATGAGGTCCGCCCGGAGTTCCTGAAGGCTCTGGACTTTGTAGGGCTGTCCTGGTTGACACGCCTCTACAATGTTGCGTGGAGATCAGGGGCAGTACCCCTGGACTGGCAGACCAGGGTGGTGGTCCCCATTTTTAAGAAGGGGGACTGGAGGGTGTGTTCCAACTACAGGGGGAATCACACTCCTCAGCCTCCCTGGGAAAATCTATGCCAGGGTGCTGGAAAGGAGAGTTCGTCTGCTAGTCGAACCTCAGATACAGGAGGAAAAATGTGGTTTTCGTCCTGGTCGCGGAACACTGGACCAGCTCTTTATCCTCTCGAGGATACTTGAGGCGCATGGAAGATTGCCCAACCAGTCTATATGTGTTTTGTGGACTTGGAGAAGGAATACCTCCTGTGGGAGGTACTACGGGAGTATGGGGTGTCTGGCCCATTGCTACGGGCCATTCGATCCTTATACAATTATTGCCAGCAATAAGTCAAACTCGTTCCCGGTGGGTGATGGGCTCCGCCAGGGCTGCCCTTTGTCACCAATTCTGTTCATAATTTTTATGGACAGGATTTCTAGGCGCAGCCAAGTGGCGGAGGGCTTTCACTTCGGTGGCCTCAGAATCTCATCTCTGCTTTTCGCGGATGATATGGTTCTGTTGGCTTCATCAGGTGGTGGCCTCCAGCTCGCACTGGAACGTTTCGCAGCCGAGTGTGAAGCAGCGGGAATGAGGATCAGCACCTCCAAATCTGAGGCCATGGTTCTCAGCCGGAAAAGGGTGGAGTGCCCACTCCGGGTCGGGGATGAGTTCCTGTCCCAAATGGAGGAGTTAAAGTATCTCGGGGTCTTGTTGATGTGATGGGAGCCAGAGATCGACAGGCGGATTGGTGCTGCAGCGACAGTGATGCGGACGCTGCACCGGTCCGTCGTGGTGAAGAGAGAGCTGAACGTAAAAGCAAAGCTCTCAATTTACTGGTCGATCTACATCCCTACCCTCACCTACGGCCACAAGCCGTGGGTAGTGACCGAAAGAACGAGATTGCGGATACAAGCAGCGGAAATGAGCTTCCTCCGAAGGGTGGCTGGCCTCTCCCTTAGAGATAAGGTGAGAAGTTCAGCCATCCGGGAGAGGCTCAGAGTAGAACTGCTGCTCCTCCACATTGAAAGGAGCCAGCTGAGGTGGTTCGGATGTCTGACAAGGATGCCACCTGGGCGAGGTGTTCCAGGCATGTCCCAGCGGGAGGAGGCCCGGGGCAGACCCAAGACACGCTGGAGAGATTATATCTCTCGGCTGGCCTGGGAACGCCTTGGCTAGAGGAGGTGGCTGGGGAGAGGGAGGTCTGGGCTTCTCTGCTCAAGCTGCTGCCTCCGGGGCCCGGCCCCGGATAAAGCAGAAGAAGATGGATGGATGGATGGCTATTAAACATCAACAACAGTCAACTGTGCTAAACAATCAACCCACATCTTTAGATATGAGGAATATTCATAAGAAAAAATCTATATGTTTATTTGATCTGTGTTTTTTTCCCCCCATAGCAGAATTTTCAGGCAAGTACACAACTGCATATTAATAATATAAAAGAAACTGTATAACAACCTTATTGCCCTGACATTACTGATTGATAACATGGAGCCACATTTCATCTTAAAGTGAAATCCATTTTCAAATGCCAGCACAAAGACATCGTGTTTCATGAGCCTCTGAAATAATGTGGCAACACAAAGTTGCAGGACTGAACTCTTTAAAAAGTTGATTTGATTGATTTCGGTGTGAACCTTCTATAGAAAAGCTTTCCTATGCTAAGGTATGTTGGGGGTAATGATCAAAGACATTTTGGCATCCATGCTCTCAAAACTGACCTGTCTTTTAGGTGTTTGGCCTTGACCTGGGTCATTTGGCCACTAGAGAAGTCAAACACCTCCTCGCTCAGCAGCTTCAGAATGACCATGTTGTTCTGACAGAGGCTCTCGCTGGTACGACTCGCCCCCACAATGTCACTGATGAAGGTGGGCCAGTGCTTGGGCCACTCCTGCTTCAGGATCTGCAGACGTAGAGGACACAGACATGTTAGTGAGAGATGGCACACACTGAGAAGAATGTGTAATCTGAAGAAAAAAACTAGATCAAACTGCAACTCCCCATCAGCCTCAAGTCAAAAACATTTCTTTTACAAGCATCCCGTAGTGAAGAAAATGCCGTTTTTGTTAAACTCCATACTTAATTGTCCATATTGAACATAACCATTTTAACCAGCCTCCTGACGATGAACGTGGAATCTGGAGCTCTTCGGCCCCTCCAGGCCAAAACAACGTTAGCTCAAATGACGTAAGCGGTGACTCATTCTCACTGGCATTAATGCAAAGTCACTTGTGAAGTCAGTGAACCAATCTCTGCCTCTTGCTCCCTCGCTCACACATACATCAAACGCAAAAACATGGGGAAAATGTCACGTTGCACATTTAGAAGCACTGAGGTCTAAGTTGTTGGTCTCATGGTCCTGATATTTCTACAACTCTACATTTACAGATTTCAGTGCCTTGCTGAATTAAGGATACTGCCATCAACAGCTCCATGATGATTTCCACTTTGCCAGTTTTTAACCAATTTGTATGTTTCCATACAGACACATACATCCATTTTTCTGCCACACTCTTCGAGATGATATCCTTTATTATCACAAGATCACAGTCACTTTCTAAGCATCGTTTGCCTCGGCTGAGACATTCAAGTAGTACTGATGTCCCTTTTTAATGACACTGATGTTTTTTGAGCCAGATCTACCAATTAAGAGTGACATCTTCAGGTTAAAAAGAACCACTGCAAAAGAGAAGCACTGAGGCAACAACAACATAAGGTTCAAACCCAGCGTTTTTGGATTTACTGCTTCATATGACGACACCCAGAATTTTACCATTTAGGAGTCGATAATGGTCAATAATACACACCCACTTGTTTATTAGACATTAACAAAGCACTGTCTTTGGTAGCAAGAACCACTTTGCTCATGGACCTGTAACATGGTCTCCAGTGGAAATTATGACATTTGCTGTGTTATCTTTACTGTATATACTGCTCTGAATCAGGCTGTATAGTACATATAGTACTCTGTGACTCAGTGGCTCTACCATGCCCCAGGCAATGAGTACAACACACGTAGCTAGCTAAGTGAATCTCTGCTCTGATGTACGCTACTGCTGTCAGAGTGAATAGCTTCTTGGAAACTGTTTGCTGACACTTTCTTTATCCCTCTCCACTATTCACCCACATGAACGCTGAGGGTTAGGAAAACATCACAGTTATAAACACAATGAAGTGTTTCTCAGTGTTACTGAGGCTCTGTAAAGATAATACTGATAGATTTAAAAGAAAAGTAACGCACACTTTATTATTTACAGTGTAACCAATACTATATGTTTGATATAGTTAGGTATTTAACAGGTCTGAAATGAAAACAAAACCTGTGGCTGAAAGTGCACAATCAAATCCTTTGTTTTAACAATTCTTGGATTCTCTGAAATTGTTTTGCAAATAGAAAACATTTACCACATGCAGCTCAGACACATCTAAGCGCACGCACGCACACAGACAATAGACAGGCCACATTTTTCATTCAGTAAACTAACAGTAACAACGCAAAATGAAGAGAAAACATCCCCCACAAAGGACTGAGTAGGTCCAAAAACGAACCCAAGCAACTCTTACCTGAACAAGGATCATGTTCAGCTTGCCAATGTACACCTTCTCTTTCTAAAAAGAAATAAAAAGAAGTAAGTCAAGGAACACATTTCAGTTACACAACCATATCCTTTAAACACATCATGAAAAGGTAAGGTATAACAAGAGAAAATGTATGAACATGTTGATGTTTGACATTTTATATAAAATTAGTAAAGGCTGGGTCTCACCCACGAGATAAAGTCACAGGTGTTTGTAACAGAAATGTCGAGGCTGGTCATGTGTATTTGAAAGTAAACACCAAGAATTGAATTTATCCTACAATTATAACCTGCAGTAAAGTAAGCCAGACACAAATAGTCATTTCTATAATGGAGAGTTATGGTTTTTAAAGCTCACTGAAATTATTCTTTTTGAGTGCTCTTTTGGAAAATCCCCTCACAAAACCTCCAGTCTGGTGTATCTGGTTGGTTTAATAACCTTAATAAACTTGGTAAATATATCATGTTTTGTAGAGTTACATACTTGAGAATGATGCAAACACCTGAAACACGGCTGGAAAGTTGCTTGCTCAGCAGGAAGTTAAATACTAACTAGACATCATTTTGTTGTAGGTGGCATCTGCACTCCTTCATTTTTATGTTGTCTTCTTCTCCTCAGCTAACCTCTTGTTAAAGCAAACAAGTATTTAACAGTGTTCACCGTCTGGCTCTTCTGACTTCACATTTAAAATCATTTAAGGAAAGCACAAATCCTTTCCATTAATCAAATCTAAAACAAAATTTTACATTTCCCTTTACCTTTCAATTTACCCCCCTTTCTTGCTGTTTTTATAACAGCAATACAACCACCAAGAAAAATCAAGCTTCATTGGACTTAAAAACCTTAAAGCTAGGCCAGCATGTCATATTTTCATGTATCAATCTCTGTACTTATGAGAAAAACACTGCATTCTCCTAATGAACACCAGAAAAGCTTGCTGTCAGTTTAAATTTAAAACATTTTACAACTCCAGCCTTTTAACTGCTTGAGTGCTCACAATGGCTGAAACAGTGAGAAAAGCTGCTGAAGTCACCATAGTTGTTCTGAATTACACAGCACTCTTAGCAGCTTAAGTCATGGCTGCCCTACTAACCTGCCTGTTTAAAGTGCTGCTGCAATAAAACATGGACACAAATAACGAGAGAGGGAACAAGAGGCTGTTTGTGCAAAGTTTTTTAACATCGACGAGGTTATAAATTGTTACCCTGACACCAAACCTGTGTTCTAGCTTTGTGTTTTTAAAGTGAACCTTCTAATATGTCTGACTTTTTTTCCTTAAACCACAGGGAGGTTGTGTAAAATGTACACTTTAATCATTTAAACCCTTTGCTGAACTGCAAATAATAAGAGCCATATTAAACACCAGCATAAGAAAGCCTGTTTATGATTTATAATATATACCCATTTAAAATTTCCCAGTGACATGCTTCCAAAATCCTGGAAACGTGGACTAAACTCTTTGCAAAAGAAACTCAAACAATCAAACAAAAATCTGGTGGAACTTCTTTGCCTTTAAGCTAATTTGTAACATTACTGAGTACAAAAAACGCACCGCAGGCAGGATCTCTCCAACTTTACGATGGGGAGGGTCTCACCACCTTGTTCTTGACTGAATGGGCAAATTGCCCAATTGTAAAGAACCCGGGAGCAATTAAAAGATTCACAGAATCCTGACAAATCTCTGCACATAAGCGATAAGACTCCAATGTTTAACAGCCATGGACTTTGGGTCCTCAGACAGCACTGCACTGCTGTAGAAATTACTATGAATACAGTTCATCAATGCATTCACAAATACAAATAAAATGTTATTTAAAGAAGAACAAAAAGCTCTTCTCCAGGCCTGAGCTCATTTAAGGCAGACTGATGGGAAGTGGAAAATTACCCTGTGATCTGAATCAAAATGGGAAATTGTTCGTGTACACATGGGCACATCCCAGACCTGTGACCCACTCAAAACATCTGGGGCGTTATGGACACAAAGATGTGACACAGGCAGTCCTGAACTACTGACTATTTGAAATCCAGTCACGAGAATGGGAAACCAAATTCTCCAACTCTTACAGGGTGTTTCTAACGGAAGAGGTTTTGCAACAAAGTAGGAGCTTTTTTTGTTGTTCCATCTCGTACTATTACCCCAAGAATACAACCTATTTATAAAATATAAAGTTTACTCACCTCTACACTTGATGCATCAGATGAAGTCTTGATAATGAGCCCAACAACATACTTTTTTATACCTGGCAAATACACAGAGAATATCAGAAGATGTCCGTTAGCATGCACCAATAAAAATGTGTTCATCAGCAGTTTCCTGGAGCACATTAGTCAGTAACCCTAACACAATCTGCGGGCTCATAACTAGCTGAATCTGCCAATCATATCCCACATTTGTACTGTAGAAAAAAAAAGGTGTGGTTCTCCATATACACACACTGTTGCAAAGCCAGTTTATAAACACGTGGACGTGAGCAGCAACTGCCACTGAACTTTCACAGGACAAAACCCTTTGGTCGGTTCAGTGGAAGTTCCATTTTCCCCCACGTGTTTTCACAGACATTCAAGATTGTCAAAGTGAGCAGAGCATCTTTAAAATGCGTTTTCAGCTCCCTCGCATTTCTCTCTAGACTGCAGCTGACTACGAAAATGTGTGTTTTGGTGTGGTGAGAGGAGCCGAAAACAAGGCAATACTCTGACACAAGGGGGGAAAAGACATACTTGCCAGTCGCCCTGCACTGGGTTTGCCACTTGAACAAAATTCAGGCATCTACGGTCAGAAGCAGGTAAGTCTTAGGTCAATGAAAAAATTAATTTTGAGCAAAATTATAGAAGAATGGAGGGAGGCAGAATCATCTGATTTGCACATGATCATCAAATTTATTTCATTATCACTGCTTTTTCCTCTGAAATGTTTTTCTAAATAAATTCTGTTCCACTGTGTTGAGACCTCTGCTATGTGCTAATGCTGATGTGTCCAATTGACAATTAGGCAATAATTAAAGGCTGAACATTAAGAACCAATAGCCATATACTGATAACACTGCAACACTTTATATAGGTTCATACGCACATTTACCTTGTCAACAACTTCGTGTAACGTTTAAAATTATCAATAAACATTTTGAAAATATAACTGACAGCAATTACCGCACTCCATTAACCCATCCCTCATTCCTCCCTGGGTACAATGTGGAAAAACTGGCTCAAAGCAACACACACAATCTGTCATTGATTTTAGAAACAACAACATATCCCATCAGAATAATGTAAGGCTAGACAACAGTAACAACGTATCTACTTTGTTTCCTCTCAAAAAATTTCCCTCACAAAGCATTAAAAACAAAATAGTGCTGGGGTGTTTTCCTTGTTTCCTCTCTAAAACTACTGCTCAAATGCAGAATCCAACCTTTCCGAGTAGCCAGTTCGAGTCAGTCGAGCAGAAAACAAACCAGCATGCTTAGTGGGGGAATACTCCTCAACATGGCAACCACACGTCACATTTACAAAGAAAAAAACTAAACAAAAACAAAACACACTAACACCATGGGAATAAATGTTTCAGGAATTTTTCCACAAAAGAAACTTTTACCTTCACACTGATTCCTGGGAAGAATCTTCCATCTGGTTTTGATAACCGTTTCCAGAATTTGGAGAGCATAGTACTGTAACACGCAAGGAAGAAGCAGCATTAGGACAAAGCTGTTATGACAGCATCCAACAATAAGAAGTGCCCACCTTTAATCCAAAAACAGTATGAAGTGGACCAGTCTGCAATAACTTGCATTTCTAAACTAGATTGCACTGAACCACATTTCATGCAGATTTTGTAGTGTGCAACACTTTCAACTTTTTTTAAAAAATATATATATTTGTACAAGCAGCATTATGCTGGAACACTGCAGAAGCCCTGCTGTTATTCTCAGCATCACACCAGACACAAAATAAGGAGAAAAAAAAAAGAAAAAAAGAAAGAAAAAAGGCAACCCATTAACCAGCTTTGTCACAGATTGCTTCAAAAGGGAGTCAAATGGCCTAGAAGACATAACAAGGTTTAAACGCCTCTAATCTAGGCTACATGGACCTTTGTAGGGTTGGGCATCGAGAACTGTTTTTAAAGGACAATTTGTTCAAGTGCAATATTGCTACAGGTTTCTTTTGTCCCTTAAACTGATTGTGCTTTAAGACCCCTTAAAGCAAATTCTGAGCCCACTGTGCTTCAGTCTACATTAAAGGTGGAGCATGCATCATACAAGTACCCACCACAGGAGTCTGTGGGATATTCTGGGGCAACTGGACAACTGTACAGGTTTCCACTGCAGAACTCATATTACCTTTCTGACTGCTGTTCTTTTCAGGGAGGAAAACCCGCTGTGGGGTCGATAGGACCGGATATCCTAAAAATATAACCAGCGTTTCTGCTGCCAACTAGCAAGAGCAACATTTTAGTTAGAGCCTGACCAAAAAAATTAGATATTGGACAATAGCCCTCCTTTTCTCCACCTCAGACACACAAAATATAAAAATCAAATTTATTTTCTGCTCAGATCAGCTGGTTGTTGTGTTTGCCAACAGGGAGGCTGCAGCGCACCCACTGGTGAGCAACATGTTTGAAGGGTGTTTCTCTCACCTCATTTTCTTTTAGTTTTTACATTTTCATTCATCAAAGGATACTGACACATCGGAAAATGGGTCATATCAGCCAATCGCTACAGTGAAATAAAACAGAGGTTCAATATAAGCTCATACATACTGAGGAAGAATTTATGGATATATACTTTGTTGGCTATTTTTCATACCTGTTAAAAGTGTCACAACAATGCCAACATTAACAACCATCAAACCTTGAGAACTCCTCGATACTAACAGTCTGTGTAAACATAGTGACTGTCTAGGTTGCTCACAATTCTACATAACCACTCTTTCACTAAAGGCATGCCATTTTCTCAGGTTCACAACTCTGTCATTACTTGTATGAAGTCAATCTGTTTTTTTCTCTAGTTCCTGCAATTAAAAAAAGACAAAAGGAACAAAACCCAACCAACAAATAAGCAGTTTTAGCTGAAAATGCTGCAGATATCAAATATATACCAACACACATTTATTTGACACTTTTTGTAATACCAAAGGTTTGTCTCTGTTCCTATGAAAAATATAATTACAGCTCATGCAATAACTTGCCAGAACTACCTCATAACATTGTAAGTTCCTTCAGACTGACAATCCATCAAACTCAGTTGCATTTTTCAAACTGTATCTCGTGGATCAAATTTCACTGTGGCCCTCTAACAGAGACATACATTTTTTCGCTTATTTTAAAGCAGATTTTTTTTGGACTGAAAGCCCTTTAAAATTGCAGTATTTTCAACATCTGAATTTTTTTTTATTTAATTTTCCCAGACGCAGCATGTTCACAAAAAGCTAAAGCCACAGATCGCTATGAAATTCAAAATTGTTATCCCCATTGACAAAATCACAAAACCTTGCCTTTAAAGGTCGTTTCTTTATAATAACCAGAATTTAAGGAAGTGAAGCACCAACCTAGCTACAAAAAAAGAAAAGAAAATAACAACAGTATCATGTTGTCGATACCCAACCCTAAACTCTAGTCCATTTTCTTTACAATGCTTCATTTCTAACTTAAATTCAACTTTACCTGGTGTGTCATAAAGAACAGCAGGACCACCACAGATTACACTAATTTAAGTCACTTACTTGTGAAGCATAAAGAAATAAAAATATAATTTGTTAATCCAGGTTAGTTTATGATCTGATGTTACTTCAGCTGACTGTTTCAACTGTAGGGATCATCACTTGAGACCATGAGTCAATAAATTAAAAAAAAAAAAAAAAAAAGAAGAAGAAGAAAAAAATAGTAGTAAGAAATGACTTGTATTACAGGATGTTATTAAAGCAAGATTAACAGTGTGCTACGGACAATGGATGCTGGAAGATTAAAGGTGAAAGCTCCTTATAACAAGCTGACTGTACACCACTCGCAGGTGTCACCTGGAGCGCTGCATTAAATTCTGCCGTGTTTTATTTCACCTTTAATTACCGGACTACACAAACCACCGCGCAAGGTAAGAAGAGAGAAATTACAAGTAGGAAACTGCCAAATGCCTTGCAACATTTCAGCTCACAGAGGTGCATCTTAAGAAGAGGCCATGACGAGAGAACTCAGCTGTACCGTTTAAAAAAAAAGAAAAAAAGAAAAAAGGAAAAGCATGAGAGCGAGGTGGGAACAGTGCCATGATCCCTACAGTTGAAATTAAATCTTTTCGTGTCTCTTTACAATAGATCCTACTGACTGCAGCCTGCACCCACCCTCTGTCCAATGAAACAGATGCAATAAAAACGGATGAACAGAATTCAGTCAAAGGGAATTTAAAAAGGGTAGACCTTGTGGAGGCCTGCCGTCAAAGCCTAGCTGTGTCATGATGCACAGGATGACACACCCCTTCTCTTCCTATTACAAGCCATAAACATAATGGAACATTGTGATTAATATCAAAAAGTCACAACTTGAAATCATGACAATTTCAAATATAGCTACTGTAGTTAATTAAAAAACAAACAAACAAACAAAAAAAGGCAGACACCCAAAGTGCTTTGAAACTGGGCATTTTTCAAACTTATCACTGAAGATAGAATGCAGGATTCGAGAGGTGTTTACCTTGTTTCCTCAATTATCCCTATTTATTTGGCAAATTTATGAATTTTAAAGTGATATTGATACATCAAGAACTCAGATTAGTATTGAATGTCAGTATTAAAAGCAGTCTTACAAGCAAGCAAAAATAAATAAAATACAAATGAAAAACAAGTATCAACATTACTTTGAGGAAGTTGTGTATGATTTGCACTTCAATTCATTCATACCATGTAAATATTATGCTTTGATTATGGATATGTACTGGCTTTAACAGCACAATTCATCTGTAAATCTTTGACATCTGAATGGTTACAAAGTCAAACGTTTACCATTCACAACTGGTTGCTTAACTAGCAGTACCACCATGCAGAAGCAGCACAACATACACTTGCAAACAGATGTCCTAGAAACACACAAGACCCAAATCTTTAAATAGTTACCAAGATTCATTCGGTTTTCTTAAATCAAAAAAACATACAACCACATAAGCAGAAATGCCAAATACACTTTACATCTATGTAAATGTTAATTATTAGCAGGTGTGGAAAGTTACTTTAACCATCTTTCATAACCCTTTATATTACCACACAAACAGGATTGGCATGCATGGAGTTTTACGATAGTTGTATTTAGAGAAGTACGTTTTAATAATACAACAGTAAGATGACAGAAAGCCTCCATTGTTTGTCTGCTAGGTTCAGATCCAACAGAATTCAGAAGGACAGGGGTCCTGCATAGCTCAGCAGTTAGGGCATGAGACAAACACTGCAAGTGCATAAAGCTGCTTCCAACAAAAAGATCCACTACAAAGTATCTTTTATATAAATGAAAGCATGGTATAGGCTAACCACTGTGACGTAGGGTGAAGCTTTTATGTTGTTTTGTGTGCTGGCTAAAAATACTTCTTCCTCAAAGTACATGCAAGTTTCCTTTCAACAGCATTTTGCAGGTAAGAGTTAACTTACTTTGGTGTTCATGTTCTGGGAGAACTCAAGGATGGTATCCACTCTCGTCCAGGCATCTGGGTGCTCTTTTAAGTGTGTCAACACTTCTTGTGCCATTCTTTGCTGTAAATCGATGAGGATAACACTTTAGAATTAACACTGAGGTGATATGAAAAGAATTGCAAGGAAAATGCAACAGTAAAGTCAACATTGTCTGTCTTACAAAAAGTCAATGTGTTACTCTCAGGTGAATGTAAAGTGGAACTTAAAAGAAGAAATTTACAAGCAGCTTCTTTCAGATATGGTGTAGAGATAGAGAGAGAGAGAGAAAAGGATAACATACCTGTGGTCCTACCCCATGATACAGACAGTTCACCACATTATCCAGCAGATTGATATCCAGTTTCTGGTTGAAGTCCAGCAGCTGCTGTGCTGCATGGTCTGCTAACATTGTCATAACTGCTGGCATAGAGCTCTGCAACAAGGACAGGGGGCGGGGGTCATGAGTGCACAGAACGCATTTAACAGACAAAGTCATGTGAACTGTGTGTTTAGAAACCATTCTTAACAGCTGACCGTGTAACAAACATCTGCTAGACCAACCACTGAGCTGTCATTTTAAGATATTAGGCTCATGGTGTCACATGCCTGTCATGTTCAAAAAGTACAGGAAAGCTCCTGGTTCCTTTGCTGGACTCCGTTTAGGAAACTTCAAACTGGCTGAAAATGCTGGACATAGTACTCTGGTTTACACCAGGAGCCCAGGGACTCGAGCAGCAAAAGCCAAAATAACTTAAAATCAATCTCAGTATAATTCCAAACCTTTTATTAGAGAAAGAGAGTTACAGCGCCACGTTATCTTAAAAAAAACAACAAAACAGGCCAGTATTGATCCGTAAACAGATGAGTGCACTATTCAGAAAGCCGAAGTCAATGACACTGCGCTTTTGCTTTAAACAAACAACTTAACAGCTGACTCAGACACAGTTACAAGCAGGCTTTTAATCCGTCCGTGGTGCCTGCGTTGTTTCACTAACCAAGCACTCATTTCTACAACTGCATTAGTATCATTAAATGAGCCACGTGCCGCATATACTATCCGACGTCACGTTGTTTACGTCTGTAAAACACCGAGCACACCGCGAATGACTGGCAGCAACAGTTAAAAAACAACAAACGCATCTTACAACCACGTCTACCTAGTAGCATTACCCGCTAGTTTAAAAAAAAAAAAACAAAAAAGAAAAAAAACAAGAGAGAGAGAGAGAGAGAGAGAGCACAAGCGCGTCTCCCGCACACATTAACCAGCCACTAGGATTCACCCCACACATGTGCTCCCTCACTGCTCACTCCAACCACTCCCACCGAGGATACCAGGGACGGAGGGCGCTCATAAATAAATTTTACTCGCCGTGTCGTCACCGCTGTTTAGAGAAGTTAGCGCTTCTTGCTGCGACTCTACTCCAAAGACTAGAAAGGATTATGGGCCATTTTCCGGTACAGTACGGTAAAGTTAATACTGACGCCGTTTAGCACCTAGCAACATCAACTCGACATCCGCTCGCATCACGTACACGAGTGATGCTGCCTCGGTGGGAGAGGCGCGGATTTAATCTCACGCAGTTTGGTGCTTGTCTGCAGCGTCGCACGTAACGTCAAAAGAGGTAGCCTGATTATGCGTTTAGTTCAGTAAAGTTACAACACTTTCTCTGACAGCCAGCGTTAGCTTATTTTTAAGTGGCAAATGCTAGCAAGCGGACAGTCGATGGCTATTTGGTTATCCCCACTGATGCCACTGCATTCTGAATTAGCATGTCGTTACATGAGCTTCAAGGCAAATTACAAGATAACACAGGTTAATGTGCACACCAAAATGCATTTTATTCTCTATAAAGGGTAAAGCCAAGACACGTTAATCACAGCATGGCAGGTTCGTACTTCACCCCAGTTACCTACCTAATATCCGAGGCTCTGACTGAAAAGAGTGGCGTTTGCCAAAAAAAAAAGCTACTAGGTACTTTGAGTACTTCAGAGTATCTGATGATTACAAAAGATTTCCTATCTCTGCAGCGTTGACTATCTCCAGCTCCAGTAGTGAATGATGTCTGGCTGGTAAGAACCACTGATGTGGATTCCAAAACTACTATCACAGTAGACCTAACAATCTGTTACTCCGATACATTTTACGAAACTAAGTAAACCTTGATTCACTAATTTATTCTTTACTCTAATAATTTTCCAGCAGGGTGGTATAGAGGTTGTGTGCCTGCGCCTCCTCTCTTCTCTCCTCTCAAGCAACTAACTCGCAACCGGTTGAAACCGGTTCAGACTGGGAGATTCCATCTCGGTTTAGTTTTCAGCCGATGGCGCCGCGTAAAGTTTGGACTTAGGTTACGCCCAGGCCGCGCTGTGATTGGCTGTGTCTCTGGCGAAGACTTCCTACTTGGCGTCCCATTGAAGGATCGGCCTGTCAGTTTATTTCAATTCGCACAAGCGCCCACGCGACTACTCCGCCCGGAGAGAAAAAGAGGGCAGACTCCCTTGCAGAATGGACTTCTACACGACTCCGTCTTACAGAATGGCGAATAACTTCTCGACCTGACTTTCGTGTCAAAACTGAGCTTTAACATAAACATTTCAATTATTTGAGCAATTACAAGAAATAACTGGAACGCGAGCGTGCAGCACGCGGAGCAAAAGTAATGGCGTTTGATGTTTGTTATCCATTTAAGCCTCTCTGTGGAAGTTTTGCTATTTTGAAGCCAAATATAGCCAGAAGGCAGAGTGCCTAGTTCATGCAGGTAGCCTGTTGGTTTGAATGATGTGATAAACCGCAACTACCATTCATTTTGCCTGTTGCTTGTAAGCTGGTAATTTTCCACCAGCCACGAGTGGGCGTGGTTACATGATCATGAACGCACGGGGTTAGAAAAACGACCTGGAGCAGAATTTGTTTCCCCGAATGGGTAACGCTACCAAAGTGAACGGGGGACATTATGTGTGTATATATTTAAATATATATAGTGTCAGCAGCAGCCGGATGATAAATGCAGAAACGCTGTCTTATATTTTCCTATTTGAGCGCCATATATTCAATGCACCGCTGTCAATGGAGGACGCAAACATGACAGCGTTTTTTTTCCCTCCTCTGTGGTCACGTGGTCCAGCGCGCTACTTGATGGAAAAATACTGGATTTGGTGTGTAGCGGAGACAGTACACAGCCCAGTAAAGTCATTCTGAGAGGATATTTCGAAGGGCGTTTTGAATGTTTACCCAGCAACACTATCTACCGCTCATTCTTTATGTTTCTTAGAAACCTGTAAGACTCGCTTTTTATTATTATTATGATGATGATGTCAAAGTAGTCAGAGGTGGGATGTAATATCTATTTTTAAAGTCCAAGTCGGACTGAGATGCACGTCAGTCAGTGAAATTGCGCAAACTGCAAGAAAATCCATTACCAGTCGGGTTGTTTCAGAGTTGCACGCTGCTCATGAGAAGCGTACGTGTTATGTTATAGTGCATGTCATGATGCAGTACAAGGGGAACTGACTGCACACAACTTACAGTGTAATGTCAAAGCTATTCCTATTAATGAAAAGTTTTTTTTCTTTTTGCATATTTTCCACGTCGAAAATAAGTTATGTTATTTCACCTGTTCTGCCAGTGTGCCAATGGCGTCCCAGTGTCCTTGGATCAGCCTCACACCTCAGACAGTTGGCCTATATCCGAGCCTTTGTTATTAACAAACAAGATTTCAAAGCCTATTATCTATGTGTGGAGTCATGCACGCCATTTGCTTTGCCCTCCGTCCTGTCACAGAGTGCCTGACCCTCAGGAGGACAGGAGGTGCACATTTCTAGATACAAACAGGTCATCCTGCTTTTTGGGAATGTAATAGACTAGGCAAAGCTATCTGAAGTCCAATTTATATTATGTGTAAGGTAAGACATGTTAACATTGGGATATGCTTTAACTGTGGTGGCTTATCATTTACATATAGTGCATGCACATAGTTGTCCACCCTTGTGAGTTTGACAGTTGTAATATATATGCAAACAAATAAGTAAGTATGATAGACTGCTATTTTTAATGCCCAACAGGAAAGTGTAAGTGCAAATCAGCAAACCTCCAAGTAGGTGTGTGACCTCTGCAGGAAAAAGTGTCAGGTACAATTTACAGCGAAGCCTCAGATATTGAAAAATGGATCTAAACCCATACCACAGCTGAAGGCTGATTTTTTTTATTTATTTATTTTCCATAAAGCCAGAAAAGCTTTTTTTTTTAAACATCAGCCGTGTCTTCACTGTAGGGTCCACCAGTGCCCTTATCATAGAAAGTAGGCCACACTGTTTAAAGTTTATGTCACTCTGATATCATTAAAAATAGATGTAGTACTATGAAAATCCTCATCGTGTCATTCATTTTCCCACCCTACATGAGCCCAGCTGCCCGCAGGGCCTCACTGTCCACACAAATGAGGTTCTCTGGTAGAGCGGTGCTGGAATTTATTTTCAAACATGTGTGAAGTTTGGAGGTAACCAAGCTCGATCAGGCACAGGCTGGTTAAAGCTTGTTCTCTCTGGCTGGAGCCTAGTAGGCCATTTACATATATTATCGTTGCACCACACTAGTGGGCTGACCTCTATGTGGCAATCAACTTAAAAAAAAAAACATATTGAAAGTTGTTGTGCTGGCTCATACTCCTCTTGTCCCAGTGCCCGAATGGTCAGCTTTGGCATGCAGGTCTATGATGGGAAAAGGAGAAATGAAAAGTGGTGCATAATTTCAGGGTATTATTGCGCAATGATCCCAGTGTGACAGAAAAAGTCAACTTGTCAACACTGTGGGCTGTTTAAACAATGCGTTTTACTTGCTTGTACCAGCTGCTGGTCGGTACAGGAAACTAATCTGTGCTACAGAGAATAAAAACACTCATTGTTTTTTGATTAGCCTCTGACTCTACCCCATGTTAAAGTCAGGACCTTATAAACAATTAATAGCGCCATCTCCTGCTGTAGAAGTGTTTCACACTCCTGCGTCTAAGATGTGATTTTGGAGTGCCATCTGCTGGAGAAATGGCTGCTTCTTTTTTATTTTGCTATCGCTGAGATCAAATCTCAAAGCAGTATTTCGATTTCCATTGTATTTGCAATATTGAGGTATTATAATTTTCTGAGCTTTGTCCACAGTCTTACAAATTTGGATCTTGGGTGTCATTTTAATGAGCTGTAGAAAGTCTGATGGTCTCTTAAAGTGTGTGTGTTGGTTATCTGGGTTACCAAAAAATTCTGGGTTCCAAACCAAAGTTAACTTATCAAATTGAAGCTTAAATCAGTGCTCATGTGGAGACCTTTGCTGTAGGCAATACACATAGATATTTTGTTTCTAAATCTATGCTTAAGTTTTTAGTTTTAAATGCAAAAAACAAAGATTTAACATCTCTAAAGCACATAACAGAGGATGAAGAACCCCTCATTT